GTGAGTAAATTGTTTCGTTATTTTATTGATTATTACAAATCAATATTCAAAACGACCCAATTCATTTTCCCGAAAATTTGAGAATATAATAATTTTATTCTTAGTATTACACTACATCTATCCCAACTGATATACCTACGTGTCCTTGCAAAAATGTTGATGACGTCATCGCAATTTTTTTTTAAATTCCCACTACAAAAATGTAATGAGAAAAAAAACACAATAGGCATGCAGTCGTCAAGTTTCCGACAGCGAGGGAAGTACTGTCTAAACTCTTTAGACCAATTTTTTTCAATTATCCGTGTTCTCAATTTCCCGATTTGTCGATCTCTAGATTTCTAAAATTTTTGGTTTTTCAATTTTTCCATTTCTCGATTATCAATTTCTGGATTTTTCGAATGAGCATGCTGAATTAACTATAAAATCTTATGTTGTCAATCTTTTGTCCTTGCTCCAGTTTCCTTCAGACGGCAGTCTTAGCAGTCCTGACGAAACCACAATTTTAAAGATAACAAAGTTACACATAATTTTTCCAACGTAGCAACACCAAAAAACCCAAGATTTATTTACGCAATTTATTGTCATATAAATATCAGCAACAATTTCAAAACTGGGACACTTTCACTCGAACGCTTCTTCTATTGACACCTTAGCAAACACTCTATTAAGCACCTCCGTCACCACCTGCTTCATCAAGTCATTATAAACCGGCTTCCGCTCTTGATAAATCTCCTTGGCGTTTTCATTCAAAACTTTATTAATATTATCACTCACTTCCTTATTCCCGCTAAAAAGATTCTCGAAGTTGATGTACACTTCTTCAGGTTCTGCGTCCAAAACGTCATTGTCAACCATAAAATACGTCTTGTTATTTTTAACGTAGTCTTTGTAACCAGCATGATACACACAGCGCAAATTTTCTACAAACAACATAACCAAGATAGACAACAAATTTCTACTATCAGAGAACTTACTGCAACCAATCGTCGCATTGCCTTCTCCTTTGACAGTCAAAACGAGAATTTGGCTGTCCATTTTGTACTCACATTTGAGAACACCTTCAGGAATAACCGTCACAAGTTCTATAGTTTTCTTGTCAAAGTTCATACTAGAAGCACAATTAATAGAAATTGATGTCGCAATAGTGGTCTCACTCACTCGTATTTCTCAATTTTGGCACTAGTCAATCCAAACAGTTTACAATTTGTGAGTTGTTGCTCAACCGACACCGCAACTGGAGCTCTTTCGAGAGTCAAACTTTCGACAATTAAGGGTTCCAAGCTCGGCAAATTCAGCGATTTGAACGGTTTTGCCAACTGCTGGACGGCATTTTGGGCGGCTTCTTGGAGACATTTTTGAAAATCGGGGTTTTTTCGGCCACATTTTCTAAAAGTAGATGCTGAATTGTCAAGAAGTGAGGAAAAAGAGTGGTGAGATTTGTATTTACGGATGGTACAATCAATTGCGCGTAGTGTGACGATTAAAATGAGTAAGTAGTTCATGGTGGTTCAGAGTAAACTGGTAGCGAGGTTCGCTGTGAACCACTGGAGAAATTGAGAAATCGGCAACTTGTGAAATCGAGAACTCCAGCAATTGAGAATTTGAGATGTGGAAAAATAAAAAAATTGAAAATTAAAAAAATCGACAAATCTTAATATCGAAAAAGCAAACATCGAGGACTGAGAACTCTAAAAATCGAAATATCGAAAGCTGAAAAATCCACGAAACGAAAACTCAAAAAATAAAAAAATCGAGAATCGATAAATTCATACAATCAAAAGATAATGAAAAATTGAGAATTTGAGAAATCGAAAAATTGATAATCGAGAAATTGAGAAATTGTGAAATCGAGACAAGCAAAATTCGAGAACTTGATAAACTACAACATGGAAAAACCGAAAAAACGAAAATTAGAAAAATCCCAAAAATTGGAATCATATAATCAAAAAAACGAAAAATGGAAATTCGGGAAATTGAGAAATTGAAAATCGAGAAATCAAAAAGTGGAAGAATGAGAAATCGAGAACTCGAGATCGCTAATTCGAAAAATCCAAAAAAATTGAAAATTCAAAATATAGAATAAAGGTAAAAAGCGCGAGTTGAAAACTCGAAAAATCCAATAATCACTATGGACATTCGAAAAATAAAGAAACAATTTTTAATTTCTCGATTTCTCGATCTTTTGAATTTCCACTTTTTCCGATTTTTTGATTGTATGGTTTTTTAAATCTCGATTTTTGGATTTTTCGAGTTTTCAATTCATCGATTTTGAGAGTTCTCAGTTCTAGATTTTTCGGTCTTTCGATGTTTAGATATTTCAAGTTATCGTTTTTTTTGATGTTTCGGATTATTTAATTTTTCGAATAATCATCTTTTTAACAATTCTTTAATGTTTCGATTTTTTTAATTGTCGATGTTTCGAATTTTCAATTATTTGATTTTTTCAGTTTTCCGCGTTCTCAACTTCCCGATTTTTAGTTTTTTCAAATCTTTGCTTTTTTTTTCGTTTATTCGAGTTCACTGGTTTTCTAGATTTCTCAATTTTTAGATTTCTCGATTGTCAATTTCTTGATTTCTCGATGTTTTGATTTTGCGAATTCGAAATTTTTTGATTTTTCGATTTTTCGAATTTTCAATGTGATTTTTAGATTTTTAGAATTCTCAATTTTTCGCTTGTTTTTATTAACTTTTCGATTTTCGAATTTTGGATTTTTCGAGTTTTCGTTTTTTCGATTTTTAGGATATTTCTGTTTATGGAGTCTATCGATTTTTAGGATTTTTAGATTTTTCAAATTTTTTAATTTGCCAATTCTCCCCGTTCTCAATTTCCCAATTTCTTGTTTTTTGGATATTTCACATTTTTACCTATTAAAGTCGATTTCTCGATTTTGTAAATTTTCAAAATTTTGGCTCTGCATTTTTCTTCGATTTCTCGGTCATTGTAATTCTCGATTTTTCTGTTTTTCGAATTCTCAATTTCTCGATTTTTTCTCTTTTGTCTTCCGTAAGGAAGGTTACTGTCTTGTTTTCTAATAACTTTTTTTTGTCGCTAAAAACCAGTTTTGTTCTTTGTGGTTTGTTTTTTTGGATATTTGTCTTGACAATGTTTACAAAATCTCAGTGGAATTTTAAATGCAATATCTCATTCACTTCCTTTGCTCCCGTTATTTTCAGACAGTAGTCTTGAGTAGATTCTCGGGTAGTCTTGAAGAAACCACAGTTTCTCCAACGTAGCAACACCAAAAAAATCAAGATTTATTTACACAATTTATTGTCATATAAATATCAAAAACAATTTCAAAACTGCGACACTTGATAAATCTCCTTCGCGTTTTCATTCAAAACTTTATTAATATTATCACACACTTCCTTATTCCCGCTAAAAAGATTTGAGTTGTCATTTTAATATCACGATTTTTCAAATTCTTAATTTTTCGTTTATTTGATTGTATGATTTTTCGAGTTCAAATTTCTCGATTTTTCGGTTTTTCGATATTTAGATAATTCAATTTACGGATTTTTTCGATGTTTAGAATTTTTCAATTTTTCGAATACTCTTCGTTTTAACATTTGTTCAATTTTTCGATTTGTTTTTCGATTATTCAATTTTTCGGTTTCTCGATTTCTCAATTTTTAGATATCTGGATGCTTTGATTTTTTGAATGCTCAATTTTTTGGTTTTTCGATTTTTCGTATTCTCAATTTCTCAATTTCACGATTTTTCTATTTCTCGAGTTCTCAACTTTTTATTGTAATTTTTAGGTTATTCGCATTCCTAATTTTTGGTTTTGATAATTGATTTTAGATTTTCAGATTTAACGATTTTTTCGATATTTAGGATTTCTCGTTTTTCCAGTTCGCAATTTCTCCATTTATTGATTTCCATTTTTCGATTTCTCGACTTATTATTTAAGTGTAAACGCTGATGGAAAAATTGTTTTTCGAAAAAAAAAAATTTACAAAAAATTTAATCCTAGATTCTATTATTTTTCAATATAAAAATAAGAGTAAGAATATAGGAGTCAATAAGGATGAATGATCAAACTGGAATAGGTGAGTGGGTGGGGCCACTTTTGACTTTGTTTTAAATTTTAGATTTTACCGCGTTTTAAATTCCTATTTTACAATAAATAAAATAAATCAGTTCAAAGGAGAAAGGGGATGCGCGCCAATCCACCCCCTCTTTATTCTGGTAACTACCCTTAATATTGTTCAGTCTTAATTTAACAAGTACTAACCCTGCCCACCGGTTCGCTATTCTCTTTGAGGGTAAATAATTTGCAAAATCAGTCTTACCTTAGCAAGTACTAGCCCCGCCCACCCACCCTCTATTTTCTTAGAGGGTATTTCATTTACCAAAGTCAGTTTTACGCTTTTCATTTTATCGAATTCCCAATTGTCGAACCTTATTGTGATTTTCAAATTTTTCGCATTCTCAATTTTTGGCTTTGTTATTTATATTTCGATTTTCGATTTTTGATTTGTTCGACTTTTTGTTTGTTCGATTTTTCACTTTTCGATATTTCAATTTTTCGAGTTTTCAATTCTCGATCTTTTGGTTTTTCGATATTTAGATTTTTCGATTTTCCGATTTTTTTAATTCTCAACTTTTTTATTTTTCGACAGTTTGATTTTCCAATTTTTCGCCTAACTGATCTTTGGGATTTTCAATTTTTTGTTTTTTTTTTAATTTTCCGTGTTCTCATTTTTCGGATTTCTCGATCTCTAGTTTTCTAAAATTTTTGGTTTTTCGATTTTTCCATTTCTCGACTATCAATTTCTGCATTTTTCGAATGAGCATCCTGAATTAACTATAAAATCTTATGTTGTCAATCTTTTGTCCTCCTTGCTCCGGTTTTCTAGGTAGTTTTGGCAGACCTGACGAAATCACAATTTTGAAGATAACAAAATTTTCGACACTAGCATATTGTCATCAACACAAACTTTTACATTTAGTTACACATAATTATTTCTCCAACGCAACACCAAAAAACTCAAGATTTATTTACACAATTTATTGTCATATAAATATCAACAACAATTTCAAAACTAGGACCCTTTCAGTCGAACGCTTCCTCTATTGACACCTTAGCAAACACTCTATTAAGCACCTCCGTCACCACCTGCTTCATCAAGTCACTATAAACCGGCTTTCGCTCTTGATAAATCTCCTTCGCGTTTTCATTCAAAACTTTATTAATATTATCACCCACTTCCTTATTCCCGCCAAAAAGATTCTCGAAATTGATGTACACTTCTTCAGGTTCTGCGTCCAAAACGTCATTGTCAACCATAAAATACGTCTTGTTATTTTTAACGTAGTCTTTGTAACCAGCATGATACACACAGCGCAAATTTTCTACAAACAAAATAAACTAAGGTAGAAAACAATTTTCTACTATCAGAGAACTTACTGCAACCAATCGTCGCATTGCCTTCCTCTTTGACAGTCAAAACGAGAATTTGGCCGTCCATTTTGTACTCACATTTGAGAACACCTTCAGGAATAACCGTCACAAGTTCTATAGTTTTCTTGTCAAAGTTCATACTAGAAGCACAATTAATAGAACCTGATGTCGCAATAGTGGTCTCACTCACTCGTATTTCTCAATTTTGGCACTAGTCAATCCAAACAGTTTACAATTTGTGAGTTGTTGCTCAACCGACACCGCACCTGGAACTCTTTCGAGAGTCAAACTTTCGACAATTAAGGGTTCCAAGCTCGGCAAATTCAGCGATTTGAACGGTTTTGCCAACTGCTGGACAGCATTTTGGGCGGCTTCTTGGAGACATTTTTGAAAATCGGGGTTTTTGCGGCCGCATTTTCTAAAAGTAGATGCTGAATTGTCAAGAAGTGAGGAAAAAGAGTGGTGAGATTTGATACTTACGGATGGTACAATCAACTGCGCGTAGTGCGAAGATTAAAATGAGTAAGTAGTTCATGGTGGTTCAGAGTAGACTGGTAGCGAGGTTCGCTGTGAACCACTGCTACCGATGAAGTTGAGAATGGGGGTAAAGTGGTCAAACGTCGGGTTTCGACGTTGTTGTAATGTTTAATGCGGTTTTAATGGTTATAAAAAAACGGGTGGAGTGTTAAATTAGCGACAATTAGAGAAGAGTGAGACATTAAACATACAACTGATTTAAATAATCTACATTTAATCTTATGTAGATATATAAGGAAGGTTGGCGGTTCAATAAAAGCGACAGTTTATTTATGCAAAACTTTAATATTGACTTGACTAAGAACATAGTTTTAGAATTTCTTTACAAAAAATATCACATTTTATCACTACTACACCCTCTGGGTGGTTAAAAGCACTATCAAAAGCCTCTTCAAAAGTCACTTTACTGAAAAAACTGTTAACCACATTCGAGACAACCCGATCCACGACGTTCGCATAATCCCCTTTAACTTCGTCAAAAATATCCTTCCTGTTCTTATTCAAAATCGGATTGACATTATCAGACAAAGCTCTATTATCATGATTCACAAAATCAAAAACCACCAACTCCGGATCAATCGTGATCGAACTGGACTTAAACTTCGGGAACGTTCTGCCCTTCCTCTTCGTCTCCTCAAACGGAAGAACATCCGTTATTTTAAGGTTTTTTACCAAACGAATCGTCAGAAAAATCAACAAATGTAAAATACTTACTCAGAATAACCGTGCCGTTACCAATTCCATCGAGATGTAAAACCAAAATCTTCCCTTTAACCTCGTGGTCGCACACCATTTGAACTTCCGGGAACACCCCACTCACCTTGACCACCTTCTTCTCAAAATTGAACTTGAAAAGAGTCTAAATTGCTCGATGACGAAAACCAATACGACTTACTCGAAATTGTCGATGTCTAAATTCACCAGTCCGTAGAGCTTGCACTTTGTGAATTTTTGCTGGAAGCTCACTGGTCCGTCTGATGGTGACTTCCGAGATCTCGAAGGGGTCCAGGCTCGGGAGGGTCAGTTCCGGGTAGGGTCTGACCAGCTCCAGGACCCCCTTCCTGGCGGACTCGAGCACGCAGCTTTTAAAATCCGGGCTCTTCCGGTTGCATTTGTGGAAGTTAGGGGCTGGAAGAACACTATGAACACATGGTGGTGTGAGTTTGAACACATACGGATTTTGACACAGCTGCTGAGCACCAGCAGTGGTACGAAGGTGAGCACTGTTCGCATGATGTGCAATTTAGAGCGAGCGGATGACAAATGGCGCTTTTATAGGTGGGTTCACAGAAGTTGTTCTTTGTCGGAAAATGCATACCAAGTAGAATGGCGTTTTTTGTACCGAAAAGTTGGTAATTAACACAACTGGTTGTGTCAAAGAAGGATTCCGAATAAAAATTACCTTGTAAAAAACTAGAGATATAGAATATATAAAAAGCATTATTTGTAAAAGTATCACAGAATTCAGGTTTGATTTCATCTTATGCACTCGTAGCTCTGGCTATTTGTGCATAACTTATTTGTTCGAGCCGATTTTTAATTTATTTCAAACGTCATATACAAATCTACGTATAATTTTAACTCGTTCTCGCCGAAAAAAATATACCATCCAAGGACTTGGACCACTCTTCGATTTTAGTTTTTTGTAAAAGTTGTTTATCGGGTTCCTTGGCAACAAAAAATTTCTTAGAATTGTATTTGTAAGCAACAAAAACAAGAATGTAATGAAGCCGAAAGTAAATTTTGGAGCTTGACATCTGCAAAAACTTTTTTTAGATAATTTTGAGGGTGCTCTAAAAAGGTCAAAAATTTCACAAAAATACACTGAAAAATTGGGCTTTTGGAAAATGGCATAAAAACCCACCAAAAATTCTGGAATATAGACCTCGTTAACGACCCCAGACTAAGATTTTCGAGGTACTAGTTTTCAAGTTCATATTTTTAAAACAGCAAAAAATTGCCATATTTCATTAGACAATTCCTGAAAGTGCTAGGAACTTTCTTAGAAATGAAACCGAAACTAAATTCTAGAGGTCGAAATCTGTAAAAAATATTTTTAGGTAATGTTCGACGGTGTTCGAAAAAACCCAAAATGTACATAAAATTTCATTTTGAAGAATTGAGCTTTTAGAAAAGTTGCATCAAATTTCGCCAAAAATTGTGGAATATAGATTTTGACAAGATAGTTCGATAAACATGCCATGTTGACGGTCCCGGATGAAGATCTTCGAAGTATTCGTTTTCAAAACCAATTTTTTTTAAATTTCAAAAAATTGCTATATTTAATTCTGGCGATTCTTAAGAAATGGTTGAAACATTGGAAGAAATGTTGAAGGCGAGGGTAAATTTTTGAACTTGACATCTACAAAAACTCCTTTTAGATCATTTTCGACGGTGCTCGAAAAAAATAAAATATTTCATAAAATTACATTGAAAAATTGGGATTTTCGATAAATTGTCTAAAAATCCACCAAAAATTCTAGAATATCAATCTCGACAAGTTAATTAAAAAAACTTTGTTTGTTGATGACGTCGGACAAGGATTATGGACTATTCATTTCCAAAACAAAATTTTTAAACATTAAAAAAAATGTCATACAATATTTTGACAATTCTGGATAAATGGTAGAAATTTTTGGAAGAGATGAAACCGAAAATAAATTCTGGATGTCGAAATCTGTAACAATCCTTTTAGATAATTTTGTAGGGTGGACGAAAAAGTCAAAAATTCCATAAAAATTCATATTGGAAAACTAAGCTTTTGGAAAATAGCCTAAAAATTCACCAAAAATTCTGGAATATAGATCTGGATGAGGTAATTCGAAAAACATAGCACGTTAATGACCCCAGACTAAGATTTTCGAGGTATTAGTTTTTAAGATCATATTTTTAAAACAGTGAAAAAATGCCATTTTTCATTAGGCAATTCCTGAAAGTGCTACGAACTTTCTTAAAAATGAAACCGAAACTAAATTCTAGAGGTCGAAATCTGTAAAAAATATTTTTTGATAATGTTCGACGGTGTTCGAAAAAACCCAAAATCTACATAAAATTTCATTTTGTAGAATTGAGCTTTTAGAAAGGTTGCATAAAAATTCGACAAAAATTGAGAAATATAGATTTTGACATGATAGTTAAAAAAACATGCCATGTTGATGGTCTCGGATGAAGATCTTCGAAGTATTCGTCTTCAAAACCAATTTTTTTTAAATTTCAAAAAATTGCCATATTTAATTCTGGCGATTCCTAAAAAATGGTTGAAATTTTCGAAGAAATGTTAAAGGCGGGGGTAAATTTTTGAACTTGACATCTAAAAAAACTCCTCTTAGATAGTTTTCAACGGTGCTCGAAAAAAATAAAACATTTCATAAAATTATATTGAAAAATTGGGATTTTGGAAAAATTGTCTAAAAATCCACCAAAAATTCTAGAATATCGATGTCAACAAGTTAATTTAAAAAACATAGTTTGTTGATTAGGTTGGAGAAAAATTATGGACCATTCATTTTCAAAACAAAATTTTTAAACATTTATAAAAATTGTCATACGATATTTTGACGATTCTGGAAAAATGGTAGAAATTTTCGAAGAGATGAAACCGAAAATAAATTCTGGATGTCGAAATCTATAAAAATCCTTTTAGATAATTGTGTAGGGTGGTCGAAAAAGTCAAAAATTCCATAAAAATTCATTTTGGAAAACTGATCTTTTGAAAAATTGCCTAAAAATTCACCAAAAATTCTGGAATATAGATCTGGATGAGGTAATTCGAAAAACATAGCACGTTAATGACCCCAGACTAAGATTTTCGAGGTATTAGTTTTTAAGATCATATTTTTAAAACAGTGAAAAAATGCCATTTTTCATTAGGCAATTCCTGAAAGTGCTACGAACTTTCTTAAAAATGAAACCGAAACTAAATTCTAGAGGTCGAAATCTGTAAAAAATATTTTTTGATAATGTTCGACGGTGTTCGAAAAAACCCAAAATCTACATAAAATTTCATTTTGTAGAATTGAGCTTTTAGAAAGGTTGCATAAAAATTCGACAAAAATTGAGAAATATAGATTTTGACATGATAGTTAAAAAAACATGCCATGTTGATGGTCTCGGATGAAGATCTTCGAAGTATTCGTCTTCAAAACCAATTTTTTTTAAATTTCAAAAAATTGCCATATTTAATTCTGGCGATTCCTAAAAAATGGTTGAAATTTTCGAAGAAATGTTAAAGGCGGGGGTAAATTTTTGAACTTGACATCTAAAAAAACTCCTCTTAGATAGTTTTCAACGGTGCTCGAAAAAAATAAAACATTTCATAAAATTATATTGAAAAATTGGGATTTTGGAAAAATTGTCTAAAAATCCACCAAAAATTCTAGAATATCGATGTCAACAAGTTAATTTAAAAAACATAGTTTGTTGATTAGGTTGGAGAAAAATTATGGACCATTCATTTTCAAAACAAAATTTTTAAACATTTATAAAAATTGTCATACGATATTTTGACGATTCTGGAAAAATGGTAGAAATTTTCGAAGAGATGAAACCGAAAATAAATTCTGGATGTCGAAATCTATAAAAATCCTTTTAGATAATTGTGTAGGGTGGTCGAAAAAGTCAAAAATTCCATAAAAATTCATTTTGGAAAACTGATCTTTTGAAAAATTGCCTAAAAATTCACCAAAAATCCTGGAATATAGATCTGGATGAGGTAATTCGAAAAACATTGCACGTTAATGACCCCGGACTAAGATTTTCAAGGTATTAGTTTTTAAGTTCATATTTTTAAAACAGTGAAAAATTGCCATTTTTCATTAGGCAATTCCTGAAAGTGCTACGAACTTTCTTAGAAATGAAACCGAAACTAAATTCTGTAGGTCGAAATCTGTAAAAAATATTTTTAGATAATGTTCCACGGTGTTCGAAGAAACCCGCAATTTTTATAAAATTTCATTTTGAAGAATGGAGCTTTTAGAAAAGTTACATAAAAATTCGCCAAAAATTGTGAAATAAAGATTTTGACAAGATAGTTCAAAAACATGCCATGTTGATGGTCTCGGATGAAGATCTTCGAAGTATTCGTTTTCAATTTCTTTAAAATTTCAAAAAATTGCTATATTTAATTGTGACGATTCCTAAAAAATGGTTGAAATTTTCGAAGAAATGTTGAAGGCGAGGGTAAATTTTTGAACTTGACATCTACAAAAACTTCTCTTAGATAATTTTGGACGGTGCTCGAAAAAGTTAAAAAATTTCATAAAATTATATTGAAAAATTGGAATTTTTGAAAAATTGTCAAAAAATCCACCAAAAATTCTAGAATATCGATGTCGACAAGTTAATTCAGAAAACATAGTTTGTTGATGACGTCGGACAAAGATTATGGACTGTTCATTTTCAAAACAAAATTTTTAAACATTTATAAAAATTGTCATACGATATTTTGACGATTCTGGAAAAATGGTAGAAATTTTCGAAGAGATGAAACCGAAAAAAAATTCTGGATGTCGAAATCTGTAACAATCCTTTTAGATAATTTTCTTGGGTGCCCGGAAAAAGTCAAAAATTCCTTAAAATTCCATATTAAATATCAGAGCTTTTGGAAAATTACCTAAAAATCACCAAAAATTCTAGAATATAGACCTCGACGAGGTAATTCCACAAACATAGCGCGTTAAAGACCCCGGATTAAGATTTTCGAGCCATTATTTTTTTAGTTCATATTTTTAAAACAGTGAAAAAATTCGCCTATTTCATTAAGCAACTCCTGAAAAGTGTTACGAACTTTCTTAGAAATGAAACCGATACTAAAAAAAATTTCATAAAATTTCATTTTGAATAATTGAGCTTTTAGAAAAGTTGCATAAATATTCGTCAAAAAACAGGAATAAAACTCAAGGTTTGATAATATAACACTAAACATAAAAAAAAATCTAATAATAAAGAAAGTTGTTTCATTCAACGAATTAATGACGGCCTACTACGTCAACTTTCATTCGCGCTGTCTACGTAATAAAACTGAGGAAATTTGTGGATTACACAAATTTTCATTTTCCGTTTTTCCGATTGTATGAATTTTCGATTTCCGATTCCTGGATTTTTCAAGAACGGTATATGTAAGATTTTTCGAATTCTCAATTTTTCATTTTTTCAATTTTTATTTCTTAATTTTCTGCGTTCTCAATTCCCCGATTCCTTGATTTATACATTTCTCAAATTTTTGCTTTTTGATTTTTTGATTTATCTTATTTTCGTTTAAACAGTTTTTCGATGTTTCAATTTTTCGTGTTCTCGAATTGTAGTTGTCTTGATATCTTAAATTCTTAATTATTTGATTTTCCAATTTCTAGAATTTTTGGTTCTGTATTTTTAGATTTTTTCTATTCCTCCATTATCAATTTCTTGATTTTTCGAATTTTCATTGTGTTTTATCGAATTCTCAATTTCTCGATTGCTTGAGTTTTTGATCACTCAATCTCTCGAGTTCTGATTTTCTCAATTGCTCCATTTTTTCTGGTGTTCGAGTTCTCGGTTTCTCGTTTTCTCGATCTACGATTTTTAGATTTTTGAAATTTTTCCTTTTTTGCTTTTTCGAGTTCTCAATTTTTTCGTTTTTACTTCACGAGCGTAAGCAGAGGAAGTATTGTAATCGAGTCCGTCGGCCGACTCTCTACTTTTGCATTTTCTCGACCTATCATGACCCCTAACGGCCGAAAAAATTGTTCTCCCGGTTCCTACTCTCTGTGCGTCTGTCCCTCTGTCTGGCGTTAAATGTTTAGTCAAAATGTATTTCCTCATCCCCCCTAAAAAATTGATGACGTCACCCCAAAATTTTGCTGAATAAATGCTATCTTAAATGTGCAAAAAAAAACATAATAGGCATGCAGTCGACACATTTCCAACAGCTAGGGAAGTACTGTCTAAACTATTTGGACCAATTTTTTGATTTTGCATTTTTCGATTCCTCGATTTTCAGTTCCTCGATTTTTCGAATTGCAAATTTTTGATTTTTTCGATTGTTCGAATTTTCGATTTCGGGTACAAAAGGTACACGAACTTTCTTCAACTTTTCTTTCTTCCGTCATTTTCTCAAATTGACCAATGGTTATGAGGAAACGAGTGGAATATTAAATTAGCGACAATTAGAGAAGAGTAAGACATTAAACTTACAGCTGATTTGAATAATCTACATTTAATTTTATACAGATATCTAAGGAAGGTTGGCGATTCAAAAAAAGCGACAGTTTATTTATGCAAAATTTTAATATTGATTTGACTAAGAACGTAACTTTAGAATTTCTTCCCAAAAATATCACATTTTATCACTACCACACCCTCTCGATTGTTAAGTACTGTCAAAAGCCTCTTCAAAAGTCACTTTACTGAAAAAACTGTTAACCACATTCAAGACAATCCGATCGATGACCTGCGCATATTCCCCTTTAACTTCGTCAAAAATATCCTTCCAGTTGTTATTCAAAATCGGATTGACAGAATCAGACAAGGCCTTATTCTTATGATTCTCAAAATTAAAAACTACCAACTCGGGATCAATCGTGACCGAACTGGACTTAAAATTCGGGAACGTTCTGCCCTTCCTCTTCGTCTCCTCAAACGGAAGAACATCCGTTATTTTAAGGTTTTCTACCAAACGAATCGTCAGAAAAAGAAAAAAACGCAAAAAACTTACTCAGAATAACCGTGCTGTTGCCAATCCCATGGATATTCAAAACCAAAATCTTCACTTTAACTTCGTAGTCGCACACCATTTGAATTTCCGGGAACATCCCACTCATTCTGACCACCTTCTTCTCAAAATTGAACCTGAAAAACGTCAAAATTCTTCGATGACGAAAACCATTACAGACTTACTCGAAATTGTCGATGTCTAAATCCACCAGACCGTAGAACTTGCACTTTGTGAATTTTTGCTGGAAGTACACTGGTCCATCTGTCCCCCCGATGGTCATTTCCGTGAGCTCGAAAGGATCAAAGCTGGGGATGGTTAGTTCCGGGTAAGGTCTGACCAGCTCCAGGACCCCCTTCTTGGCGGACTCGAACATGCAAGTTTGAAAATCCGGGCTCTTCCGGTTGCATTTATGGAAGTTGGGGGCTGGAAGAACATTATGAACCCGTGGTGGTGTGAGTTTGAACACATACGGATTTTGACACAGCTGCTGAGCACCAGCAGTGGTACGAAGGTGAGCACTATTCGCATGATGGGCACTTTAGAGCGAGCGGACGACAAATGGCGCCTTTATAGGTGGGTTCACAGAAGTTGTTCTTTGTCGGAAAATGCATAGCAAGTAGAATAGCGTTTTTTGTACCCAAAACGTGCTAATTAACACAACTGGTTATGTCAAAGAAGGATCCCTAATAAACGTGACCTTGTAAAAAGACTAGAGATATAGAATATATAAAAGGCACTATTTGTGCATAACTCATTTGTATGAGTGGATTTTTAATTTATTTCAAACGTTATATAAATCTACGTATAATTTTAACTCGTTCTCGTCGAAAAAATATACCATCCAAGGACTTGGAGCATTCTTTGATTTTGCTTTTTTGTAAAAGTTGTTTATCGGGTTCCTAGGCAACAGAAAAATCTCTTAGAATTGTATTTGTAAACAAAAAAAAACAAGATTCCAGGCGGACTGTGGTAGGCTTATTTTCTAATGGATCCATTTATTTATCTATACATTTAATAATTAATTTTCCTGAAATGTGGTAGAAATGTTCGAAGAAATGAAGCCGAAAGTAATCAGATAATTTTGAGGGTGATCCAAAAGAGCCAAAAATTTCATAAAATCATATTTAAAATATTGGGCTTTTAGAAAAATTGCCTAAAAATCCAGCAAATTTCACATAGCGCGTTAATGATCCCGGACTAATATTTTCGAGATATTATTAGTATTAGTTTTTAAGTTCATATTTACAATAAAATAAATTCGAATAATACTTGCTACCTAAATATTTATTTATGCTTATAATATTTACGACAGTTAAAAAAAGTTGTTTGATTCAACGAATTAATGACGGCCTACTACGTCAACTTTCATTCACACTCTGTCTACGGGATCCAGAGATGGGAGAACCCATGCCCTTCTTTCTCCGTGACTTCAAGGTTCTCTACCAAATTAACTACCACAGTAATCCAAAACCAAAATATTTCCTTAAACAGTTCTATATTTTTTTTATTTTCTCAATTTCTAGTTTGTTGCAAGTTAATCACAACTAGGAATCATTCTTTAACATAACCAGTTGTGCTAATTCCCAATCTCTCGCAACAAAAATGCTCTTTCATTCATTATGCATTTTCGCAATAAAAAGCAACATTTCTAAAACCCACCCATAAAAGCGGCATTCTTCGTCCGCCCGCTCTTAAAAGTAGCCCATAATGCGAACAGTGCTCACCTTCATACCACTGCTGGTGCTCAGCTCCGGTGTCAAAATACGTACGTGTTCAAAGTGACCCGAATTCACGTGTTCATAGTGCGCTTCCAGCCCCGAACTTCCACAAGTGCACCCGGAAGAGCCCGGATTTCAAAACGTGCCTGTTAGAGTCCGCCAGAAAGGGGGTACTCGAGTTGGTCAGACCCTACCCGGAACTGACTATCCCCAGTTTGGACCCTTTCGAAGTCCCGGAAGCCACCATCAGAGGGAGAGAGGGACCAGTGAACGTACAACAACAATACAAAAAGTGCAAGTTTTACGGATTCCCGAGGTTACAGCTTGACGAATTCGAGTGAGTGTGTGATCGTTCTCGTCCTGGACGAATTTTGTCCTTTTGTAGGTTCAGTTTTGAAGAGAAGTTGGTCAAACTGAGTGGGGTGTTTCCGGAAATTCAAATGCTGTGCGACTACGAGTTGAAAGGGCAGGTTTTGGTTGTACCTGTTGTTGGAAAAGGCAACAGCACGATTATTCTGAGTACGTTTTTTGTATTTTTTGTTTTTTCTAACAAAATGTCTTCGTAGAGAATGTTAAAGCCACGGACGTTTTTTCATACGAGGAAACGAAGAAGATGGGCAAAACGTATGCGAGGTTTAAGTCGAGTTCGCTTACGATTGATCCGGATTTGGTAGTTTTTAATTTTGATAGTCATATTGAGGAGATTTTTGTTGGTCCTTTTAATACGGCTTTGAATGACAACTGGAAGGTGGTTTTTGACGATGTTAAAGGAAGTTACGAGCAAATGTTCGACCAGATTATCTTGAGTGTGTTCAACAGATTTTTCAACAAAGTGACTTTAGAAGAGGCTTTCGATTGAGCGTGACCACCTAGAGGACCTGGTAATCATATGTATGCTACTAAGTGTTTATTATTAGAGTTTTGCACGAACAAACGAGTGTATTTTTTATCGTCACAGTTTTCTCTTCTGCGTCTTACAAGTTTTTGCCAGTTTCATGTTTTCTGGAAGTTTCATGACCCTTAGAGCTCGAAAAAAGTGTCTCCTCTTTCCGTTTGTCTGTCGTCTGTCTGTCCGTCTGTCTGTCCTTCTGTTTATCTGTGTTAGGAATTGTTGGAGCGACACCTAGTTTCGGCCGTGCGAGGCTCGATCGTGCAGTGTAATTCGTCAATTTCTCGATTTCTTGATTTTTCGAATTCCCATTGTCCCGAATTTTCAATTTCTCCAACTTTTTATTTCGCAGTTTTCGATTTCTCGTTTTTTGAGTTTTTCGATGTTTAGATTTTTCAATTTATCGATTTTTTCGATGTTTAGAATTTTTCAATTTTTCGAATTCTCTTCGTTTTAACATTTGTTTAATTTTTCGATTTTTTTTTTCGATAATTCAATTTTTCGGTTTCTCGATGATTCAATTTTTCGAGTTCTCGAGTTTTAGGTTTCTCGATTTATCAATTTTTAGATTTCTCGATGCTTTGATTTTTTGAATGCTCAATTTTTTGATTTTTCGATTTTTCGAATTGTCATTGTACTTAATTTTTAGGTTATTCGAATTCTTAATATTTATTTTTTTTAATGATTTTTGGATTTTTCGAATTTTTGATTTCTCGACTTATTATTTAAGTGTAAACGCTGATGAAAAAATTGTGTTTCGAAAAAAAACTTATTACAAAAAATTTAATCCTAGATTCTATTATTTTTCAATATAAAAATAAGAGTAAGATAAAAGAGTTAATAAGAATGAATGATAAAAATGGAATAGGTGAGTTGGTGGGACCACTTTTGACTTTGTTTTAAATTTTAGATATTACCTCTTTTTAAAATAGAATTCAATACCCATTTTACAAAAAATAAAACAAATCAGTTCAAAGGATTAGGGGATGAGCGGGGCTAAGTTTACCTTTTTTCTGCAGAGTCTTATAAGCAAGCAGTAGCCCCGTCAACCCACCCCCTCTTCATTCTGGTTCCTACCCTTAATATTGTTCAGTCTTAATTTAACGAGTACTAACCCTGCCCACCGGTCCTCTATTTTCTTTGAGGGTATATAATTTGCCAAAATCAGTCTTATCTCAGCAAGTACTAGCCCCGCCCACCCGCCCTCTACTTTCTTAGAGGCTATTTCATGTGCCAAAGTCAGTTTTACTTTCGCTTTTCATTTTCTGGAATTCCCAATTTGTCGAACCTTATTGTGATTTTTGAATTTTTCGACTTTTTGTTTGTTCGATTTTTCGACTTTAGATATTTCAACTTTTCGAGTGTTCAATTGTTGATTTTTTGGTTTTTCGATATTTAGATTTTTCGATATTCCAATTTTTCGCGTAATTGATCTTTGGAATTTTCAATTTTTACTTCCCGAGCGTAAGCAAAGGAAGTATTGTAATCGAGTCCGTCGGCCGACTCTCTACTTTTACGTTTTCTCGATCTTTCATGACCCCTAGAAGACGAAGAAATAGGTCTCCCATTTCCGTCTGTCTGTCCGTCTGTCCGTCTGTCCGTCCGTCTGTCCGTCTGTCCGTCTGTCCGTCCGTCTGTCCGTCTGTTGTCCCGGATTTTTATTAGACAGATAATCTCCGAAAGTACTCGACCGATTGTTGTGAAATTTTGTACTTATATTAAGAATATCATGTAGATGGTAAAACGCTAACCAAAATTTGTCTAATCATCCCCACCACTAAAGCGATGACGTCACTTCAAAATTGTACATAGTAAATGGGTTTTCAATTGTATAAAATAACATAGTCCTACACATGTAGTTTACAACTCTGAATCGACTTTTCACCCGAAACGTCCAGATTTTTGGAAAAAAAATCAAAATTATAAAACAACATTTTGAAATTTAATTTTTAATCTGCTAACCAGAATGCTTTGAAATGTTGCAGATGTTTTAAGGCTATAAAGAGCATCATAAATCTTTAGTCAAAAAATATTTGCTTATCCCCTCCAAAAACTTGATGACGTCAGCTCAAAAGTTTGTGGAATAAATCATTTCTAAAATGTACAAAATATGATGAGTCTGTACTTGTGATCTATCACTCCATTCATATTTTTTGGATTTGCATATACAGGGTGACTCAAAAAAATTAATGAATGCGTAAATATATTTTACTGATTTACTCAGAAACTACAAAACCGAATGCTTTGAAATCTTGCAGATGTTTTAAGGTTATAAAGAGCATAATAAATGTTTAGTCAAAATATATTTGCTTATCCCCTCCAAAAAATTGATGACGTCAGCTCGAAAGTTTGCCGAATAAATCCTCTCTAAACTGTAAAAATATGATGAGTCTGTACTTGTAATTTATCACTCCATTCATATTTTTTGGATTTGCATATACAGGATGACTCAAAAAAATTAATGAATGCGTAAATATATTTTATTGATTTAATCAGGAACTACAAAACCAAATGCTCTGAAATCTTGCAGATGTTTTAAGGTCATAAAGAGCATAATAAATGTTTAGTCAAAATATATTTGCTTATCCCCTCGAAAAACTTGATGACGTCAGCTCGAAAATTTGCCGAATAAATCATATCTAAAATGTACAAAATATGATCAGTCTGTACTTGTGATCTAACACTCCATTCATATTTTTTGGATTTGCATATACAGGGTGATTCAAGAAAATAAATGAAAGCGTAAATTTATTTTACTGATTTACTCAGGAACTACAAAACCGAATGCTTCGAAATCTTGAAGATATTTTAAAATTATCATAAGCATGGTAAATTTTTGATCAAAATGTATTTGGTCGTCCCCCCTAAAAAATTTATGACGTCACCACAAAATTTTGCTGAATAAATCCTATCTCAAATGTACAAAATATGGTGAGTCTCTTCTTGTGATTTATCATTCCATTCAAATTTTTTCGATTTGCATATACAAGGTGACTCAAAAAAATTAATGAATGCGTAAATTTATTTTATTGATTTAATCAGGAACTACAAAACCGAATGCTTTGATATCTTGCAGATGTTTTAAGGTTATAAGGAGCATAATAAATTTTTAGTCAAAATATATTTGGTTATCTTCTACAAAAAACTGATGACGTCAGCTCAAAAGTTTGCCGAATAAATCGTATCTAAAATGTACAAAATATGATGAGTCTGTACTTATGATTTATCATTCCATTCATATTTTTGGATTTGCATATGCAGGGTGACTCAAAAAAATTAATGAAGGCGTGGATTTATTTTATCGATTTAATCAGGAATTACAAAACCGAATGCTTTGAAATCTTGGGAATATTTTAAAGTTATTATAAGCATGGTAAACTTTTGTTCAAAATGTATTTGTTCATCCCTCCTAAAAAAATTGATGACGTCACCCTTAAATTTTGGTGAATAAATCCTATCTAAAATGCAAAAAATATGATGAGTTTGTACTTGTGATTTATCATTCCATTCATATTTTTTAGATTTTCTTAAGAGGTGGTTCAAAAAAATTAATGAAGTCAATTTATTTTATTGATTAAATTAAAGGCAACACTTATTATTAGTATTACACCTTAACCAACCCAATTTGGTAGACACAAAATTTGTTAAAGGAAAAACTCGGTTGAAACATAAGGGTAGCACGCTTATTTACATCGACTTGAACATTACAGACCTGCATTTGTTTTATGCGCTCACTTGGTTCCGCGAATGTGAAATAGACATGTTTATAATCAACCAATTGTGAATTTCACTGTCAAGAATTAAAATAAAACCCAATGTTTTATATAATAAGCGGAACTCGAAGCAATAAAACCGATGGTCGTTTTGTTTACAGTTTCTCCGTTTGACTCTCACGTATGCTGTTACGCTTGTCATCTTAAATTAAGAATGTTTATACATAAACGATTTTCAGTTGCCCCTCATATTACTAGACAGCGGTTTTCTGTCGGCCTACGTCACGATTATAGGGGGGGACGTGCTGGATCGCCGGGTGATAGATAATCACCGAATTTAATCGGTACTAATTCCATAAATATAATTAACGATTTATTAATCAAACGGCTAAGTAAATGAGAACGGGAATTAACAACAGAGTGCAACGAAACAGCGTTATTCTAATCTCAAATAAACGAAGTGCAGTCCGCAACCGCAATGAATTCGCATCCCGTACGAGCCGTACCGAGTTTGGCCTTGCCTAGCTCGACAGAAATCCGCTCTCTAGATATTACACACCGGCGCCGTATACGTGAGTAAATTGTTTCGTTATTTTATTGATTATAAGAAATCAATATTCAAAACAACCCAATTCATTTTCCCGAAAATTTGGGAATACAATAATTTTATTCTTAGTATTACACTACATCTATCCCAACTGATATACGTGTCCTTGCAAAAATGTTTTTTTTTAAATTCCCACTACAAAAATGTAATGAGAAAAAAAACACAATAGGCATGCAGTCGTCAAGTTTCCGACAGCGAGGGAAGTACTGTCTAAACCCTTTAGACCAATTTTTTTCAATTATCCGTGTTCTCAATTTCCCGATTTGTCGATCTCTAGATTTCTAAAATTTTTGGTTTTTCGATTTTTCCATTTCTCGATTATCAATTTCTGGATTTTTCGAATGAGCATCCTGAATTAACTATAAAATCTTATGTTGTCAATCTTTTGTCCTTGCTCCAGTTTCCTTCAGACGGCAGTCTTAGCAGTCCTGACGAAACCACAATTTTAAAGATAACAAAATTTTCGACACTAGCATATCGTCATCAACACAAACTTTTACATTTAGTTACACATAATTTTTCCAACGTAGCAACACCAAAAAACCCAAGATTTATTTACGCAATTTATTGTCATACAAATATCAACAACAATTTCAAAACTGGGACACTTTCACTAGAACTTCTATTGACACCTTAGCAAACACTCTATTAAGCACCTCCGTCACCACCTGCTTCATCAAATGATTATAAACCGGCTTCCGC